ATTGTTTGAATTGCCTGTGATTGAGTCCTCGTGATTTTATGAAATTTACAGTCGAAACTACCACTTTCATGACATTTTGAAATTCAATTTTTTTTAGAACAGAGGGCTTCTTGGTGTATAATGCAGTGAAACTGCATGAGATCTTCAGCGTTTATGTTTTTTTCTTGCAAATGCTTTTTCAGCAAAGTAACTAGCCCAGAATTGACACCAATCATCGAAGGAGCACCGTCAGTCGCAACTCCCGATAATTTTGATAAGTCCAAATCAGTTTTTGAATACTCATACAAAAGTACATTGAGTATACCAACTCCTCTGGATTGACCTTTCAATGCACACATTCCTAATAACTCTTCTAAGACTTCAAAATCTTGAGTAACACCTCGTATGAATATCAGAAGTTGAGCTGTGGAACTAATATCAGTGGATTCGTCGAGTGCTAATGAAAAAAATTCAATGATCTTAGTTTTTTCATTTAATTGTTCCGCAATATTACCTGACAAAGACATAATTCGTCTTTGGATAGTCATACGATTCAGTTGAATTTTCTCAAAGTTTTTTGCTGCTTCTGGACACATTTTCTTAGCGGCAATTTCTATGCATTCTTTTACAAAATCCCCATCATTGAAGGGGCGACTTCGCTTTGCTATCATTCGAGAAATTTCATAACTAACTTCTGTAGCTGTTTCTGAATCTTGAATGGGTTTTGTAAACATAGCTTGCTGACCAATAAGCTCCCGTTTTAAAGACAACATTTTTTGCTTACTTAATTTGCCTGTAAACTTGGTAAAAGTAGGATGCTGCGTTTCATAGTGCCTTTTTACATTATATTCCTTTGCAATCACAATAGAATTCTTACAAATTAAACAAACGACATTTATGCGACCATACAAAAAAGTATTTCTCAGTCCAAATTGACCGGCGGGCCGCGGTCTGTACATCTACGACTTAGAGTGATAAGAGAAGTATTTGTAATGTTCTCAGTGATGATAGCAGTTTGAAGTTAATGTAGGTAATGTTGTTGATGGATGTGGGTGGCTTGGAACTATAGGAGTTTCTTTCTGCCTAAATATCATCCTCTTACCATTTTCTGGCACCAAGCAGCAGTATGTGTCCCAGTCTGAAGGACATCGAGAGCCAGGCTGTGATGCATTACATCTTAGTCCTCAGAGGTAACAATGCACCTGTAGCCATTGCTTGAAGTTCGTTGCAGGTGCCCATGGTGCCCATTAGTCACTTACTAGATGGAAAGTTTATTTATCACTTCAATATTATAAAAAATGATGTTGACAAATTAAAATGTGGTAGCCAATAATCTTTATTACAAACTTATATATGTATTTGAATACTATTTCATATTTATGAAGATTTTCATATTTTCAGTTGGATGAGATTGAGGGGCCAATAATTGTCTGTTTCACCTGTCATGCAAGACTCATTTGTTGCAGAAGATTACAACAACAGGCTATTGAGTCAAATGTGGTTCTGGAGCAGTTGCTTTCAGGAGGATCCATGGTATTATCCATTCCATCCATTAAAACCTATAAAAGTCCACTGCTGAACATAGGTCTCACTCATAGATTGCTCCATAGGAGGGATTTTGCCAAATTTGCCACACTTGGCAAATTGGCAACCGTAGTTTATATTAGTTTAAGTTGTCATCAGGAAGATGCGGCCTCCTCTGTTTCTGTTTCCTTCTGTTGCCTCTTACGACACCCATCCCGTAGATAGGTGGATAGTGCAGGGGTCGGCAACCTGCGGCTCGCGAGCCACATGCGGGCCTTTGGATGTGAAGCTGCGGCTCTTTAGTTTCATACGCAAATATTATTTATTTTATTAAAAAAATTTATAAATCGATCCATACTGAGACATTTGGGGTTGATACTGGATCTCTAGAAATGCAATTGATCGATTTAAAAAGTACAGCTTTGTGGAGTTGAAAATTTCCAGAGTTGATAAGGAAGTTGAAAAAGTTGGAGGTCCAGAAATGTATGTACGTAACGCAACAAAAATGAACAGCTTTAAAAGAAAGGCTGCGAGTTGAGTTATATTTGACGCGTGGAATAGTCTTCCAGATTGCTATAGTGAGGTGAAGAAGTTGGCATTTGGAGTGCTGACTATCTTCGGATCGACATATTCGTGCGAGCAAGCGTTCTCTTGCATGAATATAATTAAAAGTAAAGTAAGAAGCCAACTAACAAATTAAAATTCAGATTCGTGTTTGAAACTTAAAACAACAAGTTATGAGCCAAATTTATCTAAACTTTCTAAAACCATGCAAAGCCAAAACTCCCATTGAATTTGTTTGCTCAATTGTTTGTACTTGAAGTATAAGTTAGTGTTGTAAGACTTACAATGTAAATAAATGTTTGTTTTAATTTTTTACTTAAATAATAAGCAATTATCTAATAATACCATATATATATATATAAAAGGTTGCCGACCCTGTGATAGTGGATATTCTTACACCGTCACTGCACAAGTTGTTGTCAGGAAGATGCTGCCCCCCGATCTCCTGTTTCAGTTTCCCTCTGCCCCTTTTTACGACATCTGCGGGATGGCAGGGGGTAGTATGGGTTCTCCTATTCCACCTCTATAGTGGCTTTTTCTCTTATTTGAAAAAATTATTTCCTTTCAGTCAATACCAAAACCGCATAAGATTAGAGGTGAGATTAAATTCACACCAATTTATCATATAGATATCTGGCCTGTAGAGTGTGATATAGACAATGATTGCAAGGACGAAGTTTTTTGCCTTGATGCCGTTAAAGTTTAGGAAGAGATTTTCGAATATGAGAATTGCAAATTTGAAGAAAATGAGAATCATGAAACAGGTAAGATATACCCCTTTTCTTGATATTATTAAAATAAGGTACAATTTACCTTATGGCAAGTGGTTACTGTAGCCCGTAGACACAAAATAAAGAGGGCTTCATGTGTAATGTACTGATTTACTGATTTGCTTTTGTCTAAATTCAAAGTGCATGTCAGAAGCACTCTTATTAATACATTAAAAAAATATTTTTACCCTGTCAGCTAGTATGTATGTCACTAAGATACATACTGGTAAGCAACCAATTATCTTTGCCATCTTCTTAGTGTCAGTACTAGGTGGTGTGACTCCATGTTTGCCTAGGAGTTGATCTATTTGTGCCTGCCCAGATGGACTCCTCCCTCCTCCTCTTACCTATTTCTGCTGTCAAATAGCAGTGCGTGCACTGCTGTCTTCCATTCTGATGGGTATAGAGTCAGAATAATCACAGGCTGTGGGTCATTCCATTTTAGTTGTGGTAGAGCCATGCTGCAGCTATATTAGTAGTATAGTTATAGCACGAATGGGTCGGCTCAGGGCTCACCCACGGAATGCCACAAAACACAGGAATCCATCGCCTTCCTGCATTTCTTACCAGGTCATCATTCCATCTAATGGAGGGCCGCCCTACACTTTGTCTACTGGTACGAGGCTGCCACTCGTAAAACTTCCTCATTCATTGTCATTTCTTCGAGCTATATGGCCGGAATTTCAAATTTCAAAGAATTTATTCAGCATTTGAAACCATGATGTTGAAAGTAACTACAACAGAAGTGAGACGACGGGCCCGTGCTTGTGTTAGTAATCGCATCAATTATTTTGAGCATCAACAAATAAATAATTAGAATTTTTATTAGTCTGCCTAAAAATTTGGTTTTAAGGGACAATTGCAAAATTTGTAATAAATGCGTGTAAGTTATACCTCAAATGAAAGAGTAATAACCAAGCATGTTTTCAAAAAGGTTCTAACAATAAATTAAAGTACCATCAGTTTTTTTTAACGTAGTGTCAAAAATGTTTATTATTTAAAATGTTAATTATGTTTCTTTAAATCGTAGAAAATTTTCGTGAACTTAGTGTCTGTACAAAAATATGTATAGTGATGACACAGATGCTGAGACTATGTTTTCTTAGATTTCTTTTCATTACTTAATTTTAAAAAAAACAGACGTTAATTAAATTGGCAATTATTAGCAATTAACTGTAAAATTTTTAGTTTTATCACCAAAAACAAAAAGTATAGTCAGACTTTGTCTAAAATAACTATGTCCTAAATGATCTTCTTCAATCAACAAGTCAATCTTCCAATCATTCTGTATAATGCTTGTCACGTGTGCGATTCGAAGCATCTATTATTAGATTAATGAAGGTAATTGTAACATGGTGAGAAGAACGTCATCATTATCATTCGAATTTAGTTTCTCTACCATTCTTTCCCTCCAAAAATGAATATGAGAGACATTATTAAAAGTAAAATACTTTATATCTAGCAACATTGTATAATTATGTAATTTTATAATTTATCTATTTCTCTCTGGTTGACTGATAGTGAAGGCGTTTAAGGTGTCTTACAATAAAAAAATTTACTTATAATAAATTAAATGTTCAATTCGTGTGTATTTCAGAACCATACATCATACCGACAAATCATTTTTCAAAAGCGTCTGAGAGCAAGATTGAATCAAATTCTACTGATTGTAACATAAACGATGTTCGTAAAGGAAACCTCGATTTAGAAAGCCCTACTATTAAATCAAAGCCTAAAGTGAAAAAACATAATCAACCAATTAATAAAAAAGCAAAGCATCCTGCAAAGATTCTGAAAAAGAAAATTTTGAAACAAAAGAGTGTAAATGTACTTACGAAAAAAACGTCAGGGGCATCAACAAAATACATTTTTGAATGTGATGGTTGTAGCAAAAAATTTTCAACAAAAGACATTCTCGCCAAACACATTTCATACAGTCATAAGACGCAAAAGAACCAAAAGAACACCACTGCAGTTCGGACACAAGTTGAACAAACTCCAGTACCACAACTAACGGAAATATTTAATTGTGATATTTGCGAATTTAAAACAACTCAAAAACGTCGCATTTTGGCACATCTTAAAGCGCACGTCGCTGAACAAGTGTACTGTTGTAATAATTGTGATTATAAAAGTATTAAAAAACATCATTTGCAGAGACATATGAAAATACATACTGGAGAAAAACCTTTTTCATGTAATATCTGTGAATATAAATGTATTCAAAAAAGTGATTTGCAAAATCATATGAGAATACATACTGGAGAAAAACCTTTTTCGTGTCATATCTGTAAACATCAATGTATTCGAAAAAGTCATTTGCAATCACATATGAAAATACATACTGGAGAAAAACCTTTTTCGTGTCATATCTGTAAATATCATTGTATTCGAAAAAGTAATTTGCAAACACATATGAAAATCCATACCCGAGAAAAACCTTTTTCATGTAATATCTGTGAATATAAATGTGTTACAAAAAGTCATTTGCATTCACATATGAAAATTCATACTGGAGAAAAACCTTTTTCATGTAATATCTGTGAATATAAATGTATTAGAAAAGATGTGTTGCAAAGGCATATGAAAATACATACTGGAGAAAATCCTTTTTCATGTAATATCTGTGAATATAAATGTATTCAAAAAAGTAATTTGCAAACACATATGAAAATACATACTGGAGAGAAACCTTTTTCGTGTAATATCTGTGAATATAAATGTATTCAAAAAAGTGATTTGCAAAAGCATATGAAAATACATACTGGAGAAAAACCTTTTTCATGTAATATCTGTGAGTATAAATGTATTAGAAAAGATGTGTTGCAAAGGCATATGAAAATACATACTGGAGAAAAACCTTTTTCATGTAATATCTGTGAATATAAATGTGTTACAAAAAGTCATTTGCAATCACATATGAAAATACATACTGGAGAAAAGCCTTTTTCGTGTCATATCTGTAAATATCAATGTATTCAAAAAATTAATTTGAAAAGGCATATGAAAATACATACTGGAGAAAAGCCCTTTTCGTGTAATATCTGCAAATATAAATGTATTACAAAAAGTAGTTTAAAAACACATATGAAAACACACACTTGAGCAGAACCTTTTTCATGAGCTATCTGGTAAAATATGGGCAATATTATGTAAACGTGTTTTATATAAATATAAAAGTATACTAGATAAAAATCCATTTGTCATGAGTTCCTTATGTAACTGTAGAACGAGTAGAAAAACCTTTCCGTGCCATATGTGCTAATTGAAACTGCATTTATTCTGAAGAAGCTGATTTAAAACCAAAGAAGCAACCAAGTGAAATCGACCTTTGAAATATGTACCGAGTGGTTAGTGGAAACAGACCAGACCTTCCTTTTTTTTTTTAATTTAAATGATGTCTTACTTATTTCGCTTCGATGTTTATCGTTACCGTTACAGCCTATAAAAGTCCGCTACCTAACATAGGCCTCCCCCACGGATTGACTCATGGGGGATATTTGCCATAGTTGCCATGCAGGTGGGTTGGCAACCGCGGTTTTTTATTTTTATTTGTTATTAGTAAGACGCTGCTGCCCATCTCCTGCTTTATTTTCTCCGTCGCCTAGATATGATATATAGATATAGATATAATATTATAACGCACGCACCCAGAAGACTGACTAGAAGATCCTGGAGCTGGAAGAAGAGATAGACAAATTGCGCTGGAATATCATAGGATTATCCGAAGTCCGAAGAGAGGGGGAGGACACGGTAATCCCCGAATCCGGTAATTTGTTCTATCACCGGGAGGGCGACAATCTGTCCCAAGGAGGTGTCGGATTTATCGTCCACAAGTCTCTCGTTAACAACGTTGAAATAATTGTTTACTTGTCACTCCCATGACTAACTTGACACTCGCAGAATTCTATCAAGAAATGCCGTAATTTAAAAGAAGAAGAAGAAAGATGAAGGAGGTTGTATCAGTTTTAATCATTCGAAACTAATGTTCTAAGCTAGCTGCAGTAGAGGGTGACATCATTAATTTTATACCAGATCCGACTGAATATGTCTCAAAATTTAAAAGTGTATGTTACCAAAATTGGAAAAGCTGTTTTGAAGAGAAATCTCAAACGAAAGGCATGTAGTATAGAACTATACAAAGCGAGCCTTATCGCGTACCCTGGGTTAAATGATTGTGATCTCAGCAGATATTTGATTAAGTTAGCTTCGTTCTGGTCATACGCTTTTTTAATGGAAAAAAAATCCTTCACCGAATTGTGATGTATGCAACAAAATTGAAGATGTTTACCATTTGTTGATGGAGTGTGTCAAGAATGAAAAAGATAGACAGGCTGTGTTGAAATAAGTAAACGCAAATCTTTTGGATGTCGATCTAGTGCAAATGGTTTTATCAAACCCCAAATCAAAGATGTCAAGAGGGTTATTCCGGCTTACTTCTAAAACGGAATAATTATCTTCCCTATCTAGTATAAGTTTCTTTTTAGGTTAGTAATTTAACTAGTACTCTCAATTATACATTTCTATTTTGTTATAGTGTTAGCAGTAATTAGTATAAGGTATGATGGGATTGGTATGTCATTTTGACAAAAATCCCAAAAAATAAAAGAAAAAAATAATAATGTTAAACTACAATTCTAACATTTATTGCGATGACTAGCTGTTCCCCGCGACTTCGCCCGCGTGTAATTTAGGGTTTTAATTACATTTCTCAGAATCCTAATTCTTTTTCTCAAATATAAGTAGCCTAAGTTACTCCTTAGAACATCAGCTATCTGCCAGTGAAAGTCCCGTCGAAATCGGTCTAGCCGTTTCGGAGATTAGCCGGAACAAACAGACAGACAAAAATTTTAAAAATTGTGTTTTTGTCATAAGATTGCCATTCATACATACATAACATACATAAACACTCACGCCTGTCACCCAGAGGGGTAGGCAGAGACTATGGACTTCCATTTGGCACGATCCTGACACCTCTCTCGCTTCCTCCATATCCATATACCTACGCATACACGCTCGTCGGTTAAAGGTACTCTTGATTTGGCCCATTTTCAATATATCGCCAATTTGGTCGATAAACTTTCGCCTAGGGCGACCCTTCCCGACTATGCCGTTCATCTCTGCAACATAAATTTGCTTTGTTACTCTTTCCTCATTCATTCTTTCTACATGACCAAACCACCGAAGCATTTTTTTCTTAATCCTGGTCACAACATCATCTTGCAAACCACACTCTTCTCTTATTAAACAATTTCTCACTCTGTCATTTAGATTCATCTCTAACATACTCCTTAATGAACGCATTTCCACAGCATTTGTTCTACTCTCGTGCTTCTTCTGCCACACCCAACTTTCACTACCATACATTAAAGTAGGGACTAACACAGCATTGTGAATTGCCATACGTGCCTTTTTGGACACATTCTGACTTTTCACAATAGGGTGTAGAGCCCCATTCACTCTATTTCCTGCATTCACTCGTCGTTCTATATCCTTATCATATCAAACATCCCTGCTAAACACACATCACAAATACACAAACCCATCTACTTGCTCGACCAACTCCCCTTCTATTCTTATTTCACATATCGTTTTACTTTCTTCTCTTTCAAAAATCATAACTTTCGTCTTACTTGCGTTCACTTTCATTCCCTTTTCTTTTAATGTCCTGTTCATTAATGTAACCATCATTTTCAACTCGTCGACGATAGTATGACTTGATCATCGGCGTACAAAAAGCATTTGACGGTTAACTCACCCATTCTCAACCCGCATTCTTCTACTTTCAAATTTTTCAAACAACTGTCCATAAATAGGTTGAACAGCCACGGGGAAGCCACACAGCCCTGTCTGATACCTTTATGGATGCCAAACCAGTCCAAGTAGGCCCCGTTGATCCTGGCACAAGCACTAGAGTCACTATACAGAGACTTCAATGCCTGTATCAACCCAGCGCTCAACCCAAATGAGTTCAGTATTTGCCATAACATATCCCTGTTCACTCTGTCATAAGCCTTCTCCAAGTCCATGAACGCACAAAAAACTTCTCCGCGATCATGCGCATGGAAAAGACCTGATCCGTACATCCCATTCCCTTTCTAAATCCCGCTTGCACATCCCAAATTTTTCATTCATATACATTTAGTAAAAAACTGTTATTTTAACATTACAAACAGACACTTACCTGAAACTAGCCCCAATTGGATTTTTTATTAATTGTTCGACGTTTGTTCGTTATTGTTCGAACATAAAAATTGTTTGTTCGTCTTTTAATTATCTATAATTAATAAAACAAATTTCATCCTTAAGTTGGCCCCCCTTATTGTAAATTTTAACTTTAATCTCTTGAATTAGTTAATTTTTACTAAATACCGTTTGTTCGATCGCTATTGATGATTGTTAGATCATAAATACAACTTAATTGTTAATTATTCAATATTTCTAAGCAATCGACGGAGCCCCGCTCCTATTACTAGGTGGTTTATAAAAAAATAACCACGAAGGGGATAGCGGGCTCTATTCGCTCGCTTTGCTCTCTCACTCTGCCCCGCCATCCCCTTCTAACCTGACCTGTCCGAGTCGGGGTGCCCCTAGTCCCGGGCTCACTTCGCTCGCTTTTATGGTCAATTATTCACAATTAGTGTACGTTCAGATGGCAAGCGCTCAACGCGCGTTTTGATAACGCGCGCTTACAACTACATCAGTTTTATTCAGGCCGTACACATGCTAACGGGCGCTTTAATAAAGCGCGCGTTGAACGCTGCGCTAGCGCTCGACTGTTGTAAGCGCGCGTCAACCCGCGCTTTGAGATTATTGGTTTTCTATGTTACCGTTCAGCGTTCAGTTGAGCGCGCGCTTTTGATGCGGATAGACGTATTTTAAGGTTCGCTCAGTTCATCCAGAAATCGCTCGAAATGGAAACGGAAGCTTTTAATACCGAATTATTTATAGATGAAATAGAAAAACGTCCTGAGATATGGGACATGTCAAGTAGCGTTTATTCAGATAAGAACTTAAGGAGACGGGCTTGGGAAGAAAAGAATGTTCTTTTTTCCTTTCTTTTTTTTTTCTTTTGTTCCTAAACAAGTATTGATTTATAAATTTGTGTCTTGATTAATAACAACTTTGATTAATAAAAACTTACCTCAATGTAATTATGAGTTTTTTTTCTGGTGAAATACTATATCTCACAGCGTTTTTATTTGCTACGAGTTCATCGTTTATGAGAACCAGTAAGTTATCAAATTACTTGATGGACATTCTGAAGTAGTTAAAAAATTTGGGTTTGAATTGCCTTAACTTAAGATACAAAATTATGTACTCGCTTTCAGTCAGACTGTATGAAAAAATTGGGTGGATCCAATATCTCCGTCTTCTGTCGCGTCGTTTCTGTCGTCGGTAAAAAAACACCGCTAAAACTGTTTCTACGTCCATCTTCGACAAATGTAGAACTCAAATTAGCCAGGTCAAGGTGGCCGCGGCAACGCGCGTGCAACGCCTGACAAGCGCACACCATGTGAACACTACACAAAACTTTTACGCGCGTTGAGCGCTTGTCATCTGAACGTACACTTTTGTATATATGTTGTATTTATGATCGAACAATCATCGATAGCGATCGAAAAAACGATATTTAGTAAAAAATAATAAATTTAAGGGATAAAAGCCATTGCTTTTATCCCTTGTGTACGTAGTACATTATAACTCAATGAGTTATAATGTACTACGTACTATATAGAGAAGCTATTCGAAACAAAAACTGTGAGCTACTCTATAGCTGAGAACAAATTATAGGACGCGTCCGTCAGCCGCGGCTGACAGACGCGGCTTATTTGAATGTAGCCAGTACATTTAATACTACACTGTGCAAACTATCGGTCGTAAGACGCGGACGTGCCCTTGGGTCATCCTTGAGCGTTCGGACGTCCGAACAGAATCTAGCCGGCTGGATATTTGTGCGTCCTCGGACGGTGTGCACAGGGCACAGGACGCGTCCGCGGATGTTTCGAGTGTCACAAACGAACCGACCGCGCTCCCGACATGTCAGATGATGAAAATTTAATTGAATGTGTTCGTGGTCACATAAATGCTACTTTAAAACAGGA